CACGCACGCACGCACGCACGCACGCACACACACACACACACACACACACACACACACATACACACAAGCAAATAAACAAACCAGCGAGCAAACAAACACAGCCACACGCACACACGCTCTCGCACGCGCTTTTGTTTTTTATATACGTATTCATTTGCTATTCATGCTTATGTTATGTAATCATGTAATATTTGTCTTCTCTGACAAATTGTATTTCTCGCAGTGAATATAGATGATCGCATCATTAGCCATCACGCATATATTTCGTTGTCATCAATAGATTATGCAAACTATGATGTTATGTAAATATTGTAATTTTTCAAATGTCGTAATTATTTGCCGAATACTAAAGTAGAGAAAACAAATTCAGAAGTCGAGATTTAACATTCACATAACCTTATTTTAATAACACGACAATGTGTTAACGAACTGTATACAGTCATTTGTTACGATATAATGTAAACGGTATGGGATTATACACTGAGTGGCCTATAAATAGTTGTAGCCGTATACATCAGGCTCAACGCTGTCAATAAAACGATATATTAGTAGAAATGAGGCGAATAATTTATAACTGACTCGTTATCATGTTACACAACTATGGTATACTTTGGTGAACATGGTGAGTAGGGCGTAAATTAGCGGTTTATAGTGTACATATGATAATGAAGCGTACATATATTATAGTAATTAGTCGATAAACAATTTATATGCGATACTAGATTAAGTTCAGTCTCGAGTTTGTTAGACCACAAGTATATTAGTACGGGGCATTTGTTAGACCGCCAGCTGTGTTAGTGCTTATATCCTTGCTTCTTATCTCCTTTCCACAAATCCTTCAGTTTGAATCTTCTGTGTCCTCTAGAACCCGGTCTCTGGCTATGATAAATAATGTAGATTCTATCCCGGCGATTATTGCCGTATCCGTTGTTATACCGGGTATTTCCATATCCACTACTGTATCCGCTGCCGTATCCGGTATTTCCGTTACCGCCTCCGTGGGATACACCACTGTATCCGCTGCCGTATCCGGTATTTCCGTTACCGCCTCCGTGGGATACACCACTGTATCCGCTGCCGTATCCGGTATTTCCGTTACCGCCGCCGTACCCGGCATTTCCGTATCCGCCGCCGTTGTCATGGTTATGGTAGCCTCCGTAGCTGTCATCATCATATCCGCCTCCGTTGCCGCCACGGCGGCCGCCTCGTCTGTCGTAAGAGTCGTCGTATCCGTCGCCGTTGTCATGGTCATGGTAGCCTCCGTAGCTGTCATCATCATATCCGCCTCCGTTGCCGCCACGGCGGCCGCCTCGTCTGTCGTGAGAGTCGTCGTAACCACCGCCGTACGATATGCGCCTGTAGCCACCGCGGCGAGATCGGTCGTCATGTCCGCCATCGTCATCGCCGTATGACGCCAACGACGTGGCCGCCAGCTGCGAACAGAATCGCAACAAGGTCAGGACCGCGTCGCGACACTCTGCACCATGACGCATGACGAGAAGAGGATGGCTTCACGAATAAGAAAAATGGCAAGACGAAGAGGAGGAGAAAGCGGAGAAAGCAGCAGCAGCGGCGCATAAGGAAAAGGCGGGAAAAAAGAAGAAGAAGAAAACGACGGCGAAAGAGGGAAGGAAGAGGATGTAGAAACAGGAGAAGAGAGGGGACAGGGAAGGAGAAGGAGGAAAAGAAAACGGCAGAGGCGGGGAATAGAAGAAGGGAGCAGTTAAAAAAGGTGGAGGAAAAGGAGGAAGAAGAATAGTAAGAAAGGGACTAGAAGCGATGGAAAGGCTCGCCGAGGATCACGACGACTGAGATGGACAAGGACATGCAAACATATAACAAAGAAGTGCGAGGCAACAACGTGTAAAATATTAAATTTAAATTATATGAAAAAAACGCAAATGGATAGACTGACACAAAAAACGCGATCTCCGATTTCTCGTAGTGGTTCTATCTACTAATATACAACAATTATTAAATACTTGTTGGTGAACACAAATGTACTGATATACTAGCATATGTTCATAAAAATATTATAGAGGCTATATTTTAGGTACCATGTCAATGTTTGAATAATTACTCACCGAAACCACTAGTAGTAATACGAGCTTCCTCATGCTCACCGATGGAACGAAGATCTCGGAAGCAGAAATCAAAAATATCTGTAAGTGTAGATAAAAAAATGCTGTTCAGTATTACATTAAATAACTACATTATACGAATAAATGTTAACAACAAAAACAAAAGTAACAACCACAACAACAACAACAACAACAACAGCAACAACAACAACAGCAACAACAACAACAACGACGACGACGACGACGACGACTACTACTACTACTACGACGACGACGGCACTAACAGCAGCAGCAACGCTGTTTTTGTTGCTTGCAATGTCAATGATAAGCAGCACGAATTAATCGCGGCATGTCGTTTGAATATGAATGAATGATAACAGTGTCCGAATGAAGGGCGTGTGTGCACCTAAGTGCGCACCCACAAGTTCGAGTTATAACAGGCGAAGTCCCAATTGTCGGCAGGTAAACTTCTACTCAATCAACAAACTCACCGCGTCTGCTCCTACCCTTTCGGAGTCGAATCTTTAGTTCACTGCGGAACTACCCTCGTTTCCGCGGCTCTTTTATGCGACAGTCGTCTGCTCATACACTCTCACGCGCACGCACACGCACCCGCGAGCGAGGCTTTGACCCACGACTAATCACCTGCGCCTAATTAGAAGTTTGTTCCAAATCGACCGCGAAACTGTTGAACTTTCGCAGTCGAGGAAGCCGACGCAGCGGTGGGCTCGCCCGAATCCGCAAGCGCTTTCTGATGAGTAAGTTATTACGGTTAGCCATGACATGAGTTCTCGCCGGCGAGTAGCCGGCGGCGGTGTGACGGTCTGCGTTGTTGCACGACGTTGTCGAGCTGCCCGCGTTCATCATGAGCGTTCCTTAATTGATCACCGCAGCACTCGCGGGCCATTGCCGGAGAGTGGTACCACTAACACGGTGCCTCTCCTTCTGGCCGTTGATTTACATGCTGGTGAACCTGATTAACCTCATCGTGGCGAAGGTTCAAACAATGCGGTCCACAAAAGTTCACGCAGCGGTTCTGACACGCATTTTGTACGGTGACATACTCGCTTATTACATCCATTACTCTCTTCGACGTCAGAAGAAACTCCGGTAAAAATTACAAATTTAAATAGTAGGCTACCTGTTTCCCTTATAATTGTAATTAAATGAAGTATGTATAGAAATAACCCGTTCACTATATTTTGATTTGTTTTTTATATACAATTACTATCAATATCATCGTGAAATCCGTCGTGAGGAATATGCGCAGTATCTCTTGGTGTATATGCGGCAGTCGCGCCTTCATTTAGGGCACGAGTATTTAGAAATCTTTTATTCGAAATTAAATTGCTTCCTATTACTTTCTTAGCATGTGTCATTTATACGACGAAGATTCAGAAATATTTTACTTTAAGTTAAATTGTTTCCTATTATTTCTTAGAGCGTGCACGGTAGTAGTGCCATCATGTATATCTTGATGATTCAGAAAGATTTTAAGTATGAATAAAATTGCTTACTAGTGAACGATTAACAATCTAGCTACTGTTGAATAACTATCACATATTTTATGGATACTATTTTCCACGAAAAGACAGGCACACGCCCACGCGCACACGTTACTGTAATCACACACACATACACACGCACACAGCGACGCAGACACGCACACACGCCCGCTCGCAAACACCAGTGCCGGATTAACTGACTAGCAAAAGTAGCATATGCTACGGGCCCGCATTTTCAAGGGTCCCGCGCTAAATGCTTGCAAGCTATTAATGTCGATTCAGTGATTCTGCACTTGCTCTATTACTATACTTGCTCTATTACTATACTCTTGCACTATTACTATCGTACTATACTGCCTTCAACTTTCATGAACGACTGGGTGTTTAAGGTTAGCGATTTTAGCCAATTATCACTTTTAATTGGGCTATTATTTTAACACGGTAATTAATGGGAGTGTGGTATCTATATGTGATACATATACCATGCATAAATACAAAGGTATTTGAAGCTGGAGTCATAGCCGCTGCATAAAAATCCAAACGAGAATGGAAAAGCTCCTTAGCTGAACAGTGAAAACACGCCTCAGGCACTCAGTCAGCTGCATGGCTGGTTTGTTTAAGCCGATTATAGAAATCTAGAAAATGTAACTTTTAAATTGTAGTTTTGTTACTTTTTACATTTGAAATTGATACCTAAAAATACCTATTACTGAAATGGCAGACATATTTGTCGTATTATCTGGCTGTATAGCAAATGAAAAAAAATTATTACTTTACTATGCAAGTAAAATATTTTTGTGTGCTTTAATATTTATGTGCATTTTTTTAATTTAGGGCCCCTTTATAACATATGCTACAGGCCCCACACTAGCTTAATCTGTCCCTGGCACACACATACGCCCCTCTTCCCATACACACGCACGCACGCGGTTGTACCCACGCAGCACACACACAGACACACACATGCAGTATCCTCCCCGCCCCGTATGCGCACACACACACGAACACACACACACGCACGCACGCACTCACGCACGCACGCACGCACGCACGCACACACACACACACACATATATATATATGCAGTATCAAACTCCCGTACGCACACACGCATAGGCCCGTCAATTGAAACATTCCATACCGTTTAAAAGACCAAAGCTACAATTTATTCATCCAATTGCCCCTGTGTATGTAGCGGGCGCAAGACATTGCTTCAACCCGCCTATAGACCAAACAAGGTTCATTCGGTTTATTACGGAGTGTCCCTCCCGGCTGTCTATGATAAACTGTCCCGCCTATGTCAGCCAGTGGGTGCATCGGTGACCAGCACATGCAATGACCACATCTAAGGGTCAAGCTAGAAACAATTCACCACCGAACGAATCCACCATCACCACAAAAATCTTCTGACAATCAGGTCTACGAAAAATCATTAGGCACACCAATGTAGAACAAAGGGTGAACTCGTCGAGCGGTTTTCGTGTCGTGGAGCCGTGTGTCGTCTGCTACCCAATAGAGAGCGACACGGTTCACCTGATGTGACCCGGTATATAACGCGATAGACACCCAAGTTCAAACGAGTTGTGTGAGAACCTGTGACGGAGACATCGGCGGCGCTTTCCCGAGAGGCGGTAAGTTATTACTTCGCTGCAAATACACGGCTATTCCTCCACTCTGTACATTGTCTACTCATTCTAAGCCTTGTTTCTGGTAAATACCGGACTACGTGCCTGCCCTGCTGCGTGATAATTTTCTATTGTATTCTATTATAGCTTCTATTATTCTATATTAGCATTTCATTGTTTTAACAGAAGCTCATTTCATTAGGTAGTTTATCTTCTTTGATTTTCGATCTTCCGCCTGTGCTTTGTGCACATTCAATTACAATATAAATTACAGTGAGCAATAACAGAAATGGATTTAGATTACTGCATTGGTCTAGAAATCATCCGAGTGTTACTATAGTAGTACATACAATACTAGCATTACATTACACAGTATGGCGTCGTTACTTATTTTACGCTTAGCACTGTCCTGTCTACACTGCATACAAGCTATGGGGCTGCTAGTACGTGAGTAATATGATTTCACGTATTTTAATGCATTGCAGATCGCTACAAAATAGAGTCAACATGCAACATACGGAGAAGCTGCTGTGTATACTGCTAGGCTCGGTAAGGCTAACATATCATCTACTAAATATACTAAATGTGACCCGCTAATGTATCACAATGGACGGAGTTACACTTATATATCTAGCACATTATACTACTCGAACGTGCTACTAACAGTTATTGTACATAGTCTACTTAATATATGTGTATGCGTGCATATATACACACATATATATATATATATATATATTATATATACATATATAACAGGAGTTAATAATGACAATTTGTCATTATTAACTCCTGATATATAAGTATATGCGTGTGCCTGTGCGTTTGCGTCCGCGCGCTTGTACGTGGCGTCAAGCGTGCGTGCAGGATTATCAATTTTTCTTCTTTTTCCCGCAGCTGGTCGTGCAGTTTACGACGTCCTCCGGCTATGGGTCGCAGGGTGGTTACGGAAGATTGCCCGGTGGCGAGAGTGGAGCTATTGGTCCGTACTCCAGAAGTGGTGGCGGCTACAGAGGACATGGAGGCTACGGAGGAAATGGCGGCTACGGAGGAAATGGAAATAATGGGATAGGAGTACATGGCAGCTTCGGAGGAAATGGAAATAATGGGATAGGAGTACATGGCAGCTTCGGAGGAAATAGAAATAATGGGATAGGAGTACATGGCAGCTTCGGAGGAAATGGCGGCTACGGCAGAGATGGTGGCTACGGAAGAGATGGCGGCTACGGAAGAGATAACTACCGAGACAACCGGCACGGATACGACACTTACAGGCGGGAGAAGGTGCGTTTGAAGAAGCCATCCTACGGACTCGACTACTACACATTCTACACCAGGGAAGGAGCGGCCCGTGTGCTCTACAATGGCTTAAACGCCCTGGAGAATACCGTCGACGCAACGACCGACAAGCTCAAGTCCGGATTCCGCCACGGCTGGAACAAGTACGACTACTTTAAAAATAATTTAAAAAAAAAACTGAACAAGAGCCAGCGCCGTCACTATGATGACGACTATATGTATGACGACTATAAGCACTAGTGCGAAAGAACTCGACTAATGACGATGTGGAAATGATAGATGAGTGTGCATCCCCGAGGTAGCACTAACTAGGGCGGTCGTTCTACGAGCACTGCTGGGAGCGTGTGTCTCCCAACATTACGGCCAAGTGTGAATGTGTGTGTGTGTGTGTGTGTGTGTCTGTGGATGTGTGTATGTATGTATGTATAGCTATATGTACGACTATGTACTCTCGAACGCTTCGAGAGAAATATCAGGGACGGTTGTATAAATACTGAGCGGCCTCAACTATCAGGGCGGACTGACATTATTTTACTTACTTAAAACATTTCGAGAACTAACCCCGATAACTACGAAGGTTTGCATAATTTTACAGTAGCTACTGTGATACGTACGCATCAGCCACAATCATGCGATGTGGTAACTGGAGTGGGCTCTATATAAAGGTAAAATAAATGCAGAGATCAGATAGAAGAGATTGTCCATTCGTCGTGTCTCCCGCACGCACGCAGGTAGAAGGTTAATACAGTATTATAGAGTAGATAAGAGCCATTACGCCTTGCAGACCAGCTGTATTAATTGTTCATTCGTGTGTCTCCGCACCGCACGCAGGAGAGGTTGAAACAGTATATAGAGTAGATAAGACAATACAGTCTCATGACCGCTGTATTAATTGTCATTCGTGGTGTCTCCACGCACGCACGCAGAAGGAGGTTAGATACAGTATATAGAGTAGATAAGACATACGTCTCATGACCGCTGTATTAATTGTCATCGTGTGTCTCCGCACGCACGCAGAAGGAGGTTGATACAGTATATAAGAGTAGATAAAGACAATACGTCTCATGACGGCTGTATTAATTGTCATTCGATGTGTCTGCTCGCACCCACGCAGCGAGGAGGTTGATACAGTATACTAGAGTAGATAAGACAATTACGTCTCATGACCGCTGTATTAATTGTCATTCGGTGTGTCCTCGCACCCACAGCAGGAGGAGTTGATACAGTATATAGAGTAGATAAGACAATACGTCTCATGACGCGCTGTATTAATTGTCATTCGTGTGCTCTCCGCACGCACGCAGAAGGAGTTTTGATAAGTATATAGAGTAGATAAGACAATACGTTCTCATGACCGCTGTATTAATTGTCATTCGTGTGTCTCGCCGCACCCGCACGGCAGGAGGCAGGTTGATACAGTATATAAGAGTAGATAAGACAATACGTCTCATGACGCTGTATTAATTGTCATTCGTTGTGTCTCCCCAGCACGCACCGCAGGAGAGGTTGATACAGTATATAGAGTAAGATATGAAAATACGTCTCATCGACCGCTGTATTAATTGTCATTGTCGTGTGTCCCCCGCACGCACGCAGGAGGAGGTTGACGCAGGCGGGATCCTCCGTACAGGAAGCGGTGCGCGTGCGCCGCGGCCGACACCGTCGCCACGCTGTCGCGGCGCATCAAGCTAGCCGAACACGTCGCCTATCCGCGCGCGAGCTCGCATCTGGTGGCGGGGCGGCAGCGCCAGCCTTGCGCGCGGACGGCGCGGGTGTGCTGGAGGCGCACCGGAAACGACCGCGAGTGACAGTCTACACGAGCAGGCAGTGGCTTGATGAGCCGCGATCGTCGCTGGATGGCCCGCAGCCGCCGCTCGCTGACAAAAATACGCCGACGGCGAATCGTCGGTGATAGAGGCGGAGAGAGGCTAGAGCGCGCAGTTCTACCCGGCAAGTGCGCGTTGCGTACGCGTGTATTAGTAGCAGAAGTGTGTGTAATCGTGGGCTTCACATATTGGCCCTTTGCGTGGACATACCAATCATTGATGATTCCGCGATTCTTGTGACAGATTGCGTGTGAATTCGCCTCGCGCGGCTGGCGTTTGGTAATCTACTACGGAGAGAACTCGATTGGCAATTGTTTTTGGTTGGTAATTTGTAAGAGACATTAAATTGAATTGTAATAAAATGTTATTAAACCGACAAACACTAATTTGCGTGTTTTGTTTTAATTTAATTACTGCAATGGTATTAGTATCTAGAATTTCAGAAAAATAAAAATAATCGTTATTTTGATAGGCACAAACGGGCGTTTCCACCGTTAAACACTGAGTCGTGCCACATAAGGAGCTTTAATCGGACGATCAGTGTATACTAGTAAAAATGCAGAAAATTGTGGAGTAAAGCTGTCGTTTTTATTTGCGATAATATTCCACAGAACATATAAAAAAATACGTTAATGAGAGTGATGGTTCAATTGTTATAAATCGAATTGTCTTCGGAGAAAATAAAGAATTCGTCACATCGTCATCTATGATAATGTAATGCTATATAATTTAATCATATATATGATACTAGTTATATAATTTCAGTGTATTTTTATGTACTAAAATGCTGGCTCGACAGTCAATGAGTATTAACAATGTTTTAAAAGCAACGAATTAAAAATACACGTGATTTTCTGATAATACATATTCATACATGTATATATGCTAGTAGTAAAACAACCTGATCCCACCAATATGCGAAGTGTCAGAATTAACGTCTTCTTCAAGTCACCCATAATTGTTTATCACAAGACAGTACGCACAACATATATATATATATATATATATATATATATCATATATATACACACACACATATATATATATATATATATATTGTAGATAGATTAAACACAAGACATCACTTTTTGCTGTTACTCAGAGTTTCACGCTTGGCGCGATCATCAGACAACTTTAATGAATAATCTATATATATATATTGCAGCACAATTAATGCTCCTGCATGGTTACTGGCTCTTCTATCTGATTTCTGCATTTATTTTACCTTTATATAGAGCCCACTCCAGTTACCACATCGCATGATTGTGGCTGATGCGTACGTATCACAGGTAGCTACTGTAAAATTATGCAAACCTTCGTAGTTAATGCGGGTTAGTTCTCGAAATGTTTTAAGTTAAGTAAAATATGTCAGTCCGCCCTGCATATTGAGCGGGCCGCTCAGTATTTTATACAACCGTCCGCTGATAGTTTCTCTGCAAGCGTTCGAGAGTACATCGTCGTACATAATAGTGCTATAGACACAT